GTGGATGCAGTACTTGCTAAGATACAGTTTAGAGAAAGAAGTTTTGCGGGATACAAATTGTATTCCCAATCCCTTGCCCAGATTTTCCCTGCTGACAAATCAGTGTGTTTTAATATGACCCAGAAGAACAACACCTGTGTGAAGATGAGGCTTTGCCTCAGCTGTGGCAATCCCATAACCATCCCTTGCTAAATCCCTGTTTGTCCCCCAGGACATGGGTGGACACCCCATCACTTCCCACCTCCCTAACCAAAATGATAACTAAATAATGATGCCTCATCTTCCTAATGATGGGATTAAACTGTTTACTGGGGAGTAGATGGCTACTGCTTACGCTTTTGGTCGTCCTGCCCCTCTGTTGTTTTCTAGTCCAGAGCTACATGTAACAGTAACTTTTACTCCTTCCTGGCACTTACTGGCACATACCAGATAACCACGCAAAAGGGATGCATTAAACCTCACAACTAACATCCAAGTCCCATGTTAAATTGACCAGATTCAGCATAAGCAGCACAGAAATATTTGCTTCCTCCATGATCTGCTGGAATTTGTGTTCTATTTGCACCAAGACTGCTGGGAGAAAATAACTGGAAACAGCTGCTTTCGCTTTTTGCTCGCTTGCTGGTTTTACAGCATCTGTATCTTTCTCTGAAAACAAAGAAATGACCCAATCTCTTTCTCCTGAGACTTGTGGCCATTCCCTTTTCAGTTATGTGTTCTCTAGGCCAGCTCACCAAAATCGAGAGGCAGGACTATTTTCTCCACGTCAGCAAGAAACCCACCCATTCCCTACCCGTACAAACACTAGGACAGAATTTCTCCTATGAACCTTCACAGACAAATGTTTATGCTTAGTGACCCAAGTGCAATCACGTGGACTGCCTTTCCAAGCACAAGAGCAGAGCCCGCACTACCCAGCAGGTGCCTGGTTAGTGATGCCGTCCTACCAAGGATGGCAGGATGCTCCCCTTGCTCTTCCTTGCTGAGGCCTCACAGGGCTGGGATCCGCTCCAGCTGGGATCCGAGCCCATGCGGGTGAGGCTGGAACCGCCCCGCTCCGCGTGCGCAGCTCCACACAGCGCCAGTCCTGGTGCCCAGCAAGGAAACGAAGCCGCGAGAGCCGCCCCCACGCTCCTCCTGGGGCAGAGACCAGCGCCAGCTCCCGCGGGCAAACGAGGCCAGCGCTGCGCGAGCCCCGCGGAGCGGCCTGGTGCCTGCGGGGAAGGGCAGAGACTCTCGTGGAGCCCGTCCCATGCCCGGCACCTCGGTGGATGGGAGGCAAAGGGATGAGGAGGACAAGCGTGCGGCTGTGCCCGGCGAGGCCGAGCGCTGCTCCCCTCGGCTGACGACGGCTCACAGAGACCTCGGACAAGTGCGAAGCTCTCAGCAAGAGGCTCGGCCCTCGCCGCACACCCCGCTTCATTTCCTCGACCCGCCACGGTCCCTTGGAAACATCCAAACTACACCAGTGTTAATAGCAGAGGTCTTTATTTAAATTTTTTATATACAGTAAAAGTGTCACAGATAAATCCGTGACAAGACAAGACAAATGTAAATCTCTCTCAACAATTAGCAGCTTAAGATCTATAAACTACAGTGTTACGTTCACAAGTGTCATTTCTGTACTGTTCAACCCGTGCAAGTGAGTTTTTCTGTTTATTTTTACACTTTTAAAACACACTTACAGCTAAGTCAATTGCCTACCACTATACCACCTGGCATACACAACACAGACACACAGGGGTTTAACTCTTTAGCCACATTCAGAATTCACTTAAAAACTGGCAAAACTATCCAATCTTGAACCCTTTGTAGCTTGGCTTTTTTGTTATAATGCTGCTTTTTGTTTACTTAGAAAATGCATATTTTTTGAAGCTGAAAGACAGTGGCTTTTCTGTCCCAGTGCAACATGTAGAAAATCAGTATTTAATCTGCTCAGACCCTAAGAACTCACGAGATCGGAGTAAGTCAATGAGATAATTGCAGTGAGCATGCTCAGTATCATGAACTAAACTAATGAGGCTGAGAGGAAAGAGAACTTTACTCAACTAAAAGGAGTAGGTTTTTTGCTCAAGATTTTTTTTTTTGTAATTGAGAAGTAGACGGGGAAACAGATGCGCTTTACTTGAACCATGGGATTTCGCTGAAGAGCTGCTGCTTTTTTGAACCAACAGAGCCCATCACAGTCTTCCCTTTTTGTACACCAAGTTGATATGTGCTCAATGTATCTAAGCAATTTCAGAATTGTCTCAACCCTGAATATGAAATGTTTTGGGAAACATTCTGTAACTCGGAGATGGTCACAAGAAGGGTCACGAACAGGAGAGAGGCTAACAGAAGGGACTCGCACACGCACACTCACATCCACGAGTCATCCAGGAATGCTTCACCGAGAAAGCGAGCACAACCGCTTACATGGAAAGGGAGCTTTAAAGCTAGAATCACATTTCTAACAAGAGAGCTGTGGTGAAGTATCAGAAATCATCACAGTCCTCCAAATCAGACAGGGAGAAAAACCCAAAACGTTCTGCTAATATGCAAGGCAAAACACATGGCAGTAGTGTTAGGATATGAAAAGTGGATGCAGCATCATATATGGCATTACTGCAGATAACTTTCTGGAATGGAAAAACTGTCGAGAGAGAGAGAGACACAGACAGATAGACATTGTCCAGAGACATGTATAAATGGCCTTCCCCAAACAGTTTTGAGGTGAAAAGTTTCTATTAAGCCCATGCCTTCTGGCAAGTTAGCAAACAGTTTTCCCTAAGAGACTACATGAAACTAGGATGGAAAGGAGAGGGACAAATAACTTCCTCCAAACAGGATGAGTATGTGGTACTAAGCATCCAGATTCACTGGATGTCAACTCCCTTGTGCTCTGACCACATATGAAACCTGCCATGAGCTCTTCCAGTGTGTTCAAAGAAAAACAGATGTGCAAAGGCCAGATATCAGAAACAAAGGCAACAAGCTTTTCAGTGCCATATCAAGCCACTTCTCACTGCTAACCTCACCTTTGTTTCTGACAAAACCTACATAATGGGAAGGTGAAAATCATCTGTCTTGTCAGTATGGGCCACAGGAGGGTAGCAAACAGGATGGAGCTTCATTGGAGCTAAAGTAGGGTCCAGGGAGGGAAGGTTTATGCAATCCTTGCTCTGTCTGCGACTCTGTAGAAAGAAGAGTGATTATTTTTGGCTTGAATCAGTTGCAATTGGCAATTCATATTGGAATGAGGATAGGAACAGATTAGTGCATGGGAGGCAAAGGGAGGTGTGCTGAAATCCCTAGGGATATGGGGTACCTGAGTTTCAAGACAGAGCTGTGGTGATGGAAATGATGCAGAATCTTTAAAGGAAGCAGGATGGTTGAGCAGTGGAGAGCTTGTCTCTTGCCAGCCATCGAAAGACCCTCAAGAGTGTTAATCTATTTTGGGAGAACTTCTCAGGGCCCAGAGTTTCTAAAGGCCCCAGCATAAAGTCCTAGGCTTCCATCTATATCCATGGAATTTATGCATGATATACATTTGTGTATGATCTCAACTATTTTAGGTCACTTGGGGAACATTTGGTTCCTAGATGGAACTTAAGCCTGGAGGGAAGGAAAACAGCAGGATCTAACTAAATGCCACAAATGGTGTGAAAAAAAGAGAATCCAGGAGTCTTTCTGGATTTGAGATGGAAATTGAACTTGTCTTTGCTAGAGTGGAAAGGGATGTTCCACCTGTCAAAAGCCCAGGAGGACCCAGGTTCCTCAGGCACGGACGGGTCGCCCGCAGGAGCCGCACGCGCGGGCGGCCCTGGCCCTCGCGCTGCCCGCGTGGCTGAAGGGAAGGGCGCTCCCTCCGGCACGCGCCGGGGACACAGTGACCACGGGCTCAGCAGACACACAGACGGTCTTACCAGAGCGACAGGACGAAAACTTTGGCTTCACTTTTAGACACTTATTTAAAAACTACATCAGGGATATTTCCGAGAGAATCATTCTTTAAAGTGGACTGTCAATTCAGTATTTCCTTCCTCAGCAGAATCTGTCTTTTCCCTAAGAAGGGATGAAGAGAAATTCCTTGTTTTCATCCAGAGGCCAAGAATGAGATATTTGGACATGAAAAATATAAACATATTTTCCCTCACATCTGGAAAAAAAGATAAAAAAAATGCATGACGAAAATGTGTAGAGAAGATAGATGTTTTTCATGATGCTGCATCTGCATGCACAGGAGGACAGAAACATGGCATATGAACAGCACTGCACTCCAGACAGGCTGGCGCTAGAAACTACTTTCTGCCCTCCTCAAAACTGTTTCAGGACAAGACGGCTCACAATTATTCACGCATTTCTTCATTTAAAAACATCACTTCTTTATTTAAAAGGAAAAAAAAAAGTAATGACCCTCCCAAACCCCTTCCAAAAAAACCCCAATAATAATAATAATAATAATAATTATAATAAAAAATCCTATTAGAAACAATAAGGAAGCACTGAGAGTTTGAGTATTACACTCTTCAAGTATGCTGTTTGGATTTTTTTTTAATCTGTGAATATACATATATAAAAAAAACCTCAAAAGTGCGACCAAGGGCTTCTGTTTAAAGATAAGTATTTAAAGGACTACTTCAAAATACTGTAGCACAACTGTGCAGTTACTGTGTATGGCATGAGGCTTCCATCTCATATGCTCAGCAAAGTCAACCAGCCTTACAGGATACTATTGTAAGTCAGGTTAGCACAAATGGCAAAACCACGTGCTGAGTTGGGAGAGAAATCCATATGTTGTTTTTTCTCTGTTAAGGAAAGAAACCACTCTGAACCCATAGGTTTGGGCATGGAATGCGAGCAGACTTCACAGTACAAGTTTAGTGTTACCGGTTTGCTGTGGTGCCTTCACTCATGGCTGTGCGCTAGATTTAGCTTTGCTCATTTTAAGCTAACCACGTTCTCCTCTTCCTGACAGGTTTAGTACAGTAGTTCAAGCCACAATTTAAATTGCCCATTGGTATGCTCCAAATTTGTGTATGTTATTTATTTCATTTGTACACTTTGAAGAACCTTAAGATTTGCATCCAAAGAGAACCATGCTACATAAAAATTATCCAGGATTCTCACCAAAAAGAGTTCTTGAATAAAATCTAAAAAATACTATTGCAATGCATCTCGCAGAGAAAAAACGTTATTCTAAATGTAAACAAATTCACTCGGACACTTTAAAACTTCAGCGGAATAGCTGCTGACTAATCTTTGCCAAGGAGGGCGACGCAGCGACTCCTCGTGCCATCATCTAGGGGGGGACAAGAACCGTTCCAAGTAGCCCGTGATGGCGTCCCAGTGCTTCCACAGAAAGGCAATGAAAACCACTATGAATAAAGTGCTGAACGTCCTATTGCGAGTCTTCATGAGGGGCACGACGCAGTTGGCCACGGTGGAGACAAAGACCAGGAGGACGGCCATGACGGCCAGGAGGATGTTGATGAACTTGCCCAGGAGGTTCCTGGCCGTGGCGTTCTCCAGCCCCTCCAGCTGCACCACCTGCTGCTGCTGCTGCTGCAGCTCCATCTTGGAGATCCGGGTCTGGCAGGCCTCCAGAGCCTCCTGTTGGTGAGAACACACGGCCCGTTGGCACGGCCCCGGGGAGCGCGCGCCGCGCCGGGCCGCCCCCGCGGCAGCAGGAGGAGCAGGGCCCGCTCGCGCGGGAGGCTCCTCGAGGCACCGCGCGCAGGAGGGGACGCGTGGGCTGCTGCTCGCCCTCAGTGGCCTGCGCATGCACGGGGCCACCTCAGTGCCTACCGCCCGCCCTCTCCTTCGGGGACCGAGGGACAAGGACGCTGACGCCCCTCGCAGCCAGCAGCCCTCCTTGCTGCGGCTCGAGGGCACTGTGCGCCTTCTCGTCGCCCTCTCCACTTCCACTCCGTGTGATCCCAGCGGCTCTCGTCTCCACCGCTTGCCCTCCGCTGGCCCCTGCTAGCCTGACCCCTGCGAGGAGCCCACTCACCTCTGCTCAGCCTAGCAGGAACCTAATCCGCGGAAATAACCACAGCGCTGGGCTGCCTTCTGCCCGCTTAGCGAGCTGAATGAGCTCGGGGAAGGGCTGGGACAGCACAGCCCGGCTTGCAAGGATACCTCCGAACTACAGCAGGCCACGACGCCAGCACAGCGCCGGGCAGCCTGAACGGGCGCGAGGTAGGAGAAGTCTGGAAGAGCGAGAGCACGGGACTCCTGAGACTGCCTACAGGACACGGCAGAGCAGCAACACGTGAAGGAAGAGTGCTCTGCCCTGCACAAAGCAACCCCAGCGTGCCATTGACTTAGGGGTAACCTGTTTTCAGACATCTGTTCATCCCCATGAACCTCAAGGGAGGCAACCCCTCTGCAGTGTCACACAGGCAACATGGGGGCCTGGCCCAGAGTCCAGGAGGAGGGCAGACTTCTGTTCTCAGAATATAAATCTACTATTTCCCCATTAACCCTTCCTCAGAGATGCTTTTCTCAGGACCTAAAAGCCAAGTTCAGATAACATCTAGAGGTCTGCAGAAAGCAGCAGTACTGCACAGACTGACCACTGAAACAGGAATCGGGATTTCTGTCACTGCTCCCCTGAGAGCCCAGGCTCTCATCTCGTGTTTCATGTGAGGAAACTTAACACTTACTTTTCCCTCAGCAGCACTGAGTCTGTCTCAATTTGTAAGGTTACATTAAAAGTGCTGAATCACAAAGTGAAGAATAAAAAATATATATATTGAGAACACCCATTTCAATCGAAGTTTTCTACCTTACTTCTTCCTGCCCTGTTAAGTCAGAAAGGAGAACAAAACTCAAATATTGCAACATTCCCCCAAACGAAAACCTGCTGTTTACTCTATCAGAGGCCATGGCATCACTGTCCCCAGACACTGATTTATCTTACCCTTAGCTTAAAGGTCACTGTCACCTGTTACATTTCCCTGCTGTTGCATAATGTCTGTGGAGACCAATGAAACATGAAGGCTTCTTCTTAGCTACATTACTTGAAAAAACAGGTAAAACTGATGAGCCTGTTCTAGCAGCAGGAACCTGAAAGGACATTGACTCAACTCAGCTTGCAGCTGGATCTCCAAGACTGCCAGAAGCAAAAAGCCTGCTTTGTCTCCAGAGGAAATCACCTGGCTGCAGCGCCTTCGGGGACAGGAAAGAGCAAGAACTTTGACCTACAGCTCTCAGCTCAAGCTATAAATACCTCAAGTTAGCTATCAAACTCGGATGCCTCCTAAAACTAACAACAAAAGGATTTAAACCAGAAGACAGGTATATTTTTGAATTGGCCTTTATAAGGTTTAGCTACTACTCAGATCATGTCCCAGGTGCTCTGTCTCCTTCTGGGTCTATGGAGTGCCCTTCAACTTTATAACCCCTAGTCCACAGCCTTGGTCTTTCACACACTAAGGGAAATGTCACTCTGAAGAATACCTCCTTATTTGGGCAAAGCTAACAGAATCATCTGTTTCCTGACTCCACGCAGTGGATACACAAACCCAGCTACCATTTTTTCCTTAGGCATCTGTGGTGACTGCTCTAAAATTAGTGACAGACAAATACACCCTAGATCAGTTTACTGGGAACACTACTGTAAAAAATGTTTTTAATGTCATAACCCATTAGCTTCCAATCCCAACAAATATCTTTAAATATGGCCAGTGCCAATGGTGGGTGCAGGCTCCCACTGTGCTGTAATACATTTTAAAATCCTATTGTACAGCAAATGGCAGGACCCTCTCAACATGCATGTGCCTGCAGGCGAGTGCATGCTGTCCTGCTCCCAAAGGAAGTTCCTCGGAGAGACCCCTGAGAGCCAGGCACTGCACAGGGGTCTCTCGGAAATCCTTATGCAATTAAGTCACAGGGATTAAAAACAAATACTGAAACAAAGAAGCATCTCAAAAGCAAAGGAGTAGTTACTGAAAGAGCGTGCAGAAGAAAGCCCATGAGTCCTCGCTTCTGTGACCCACCTGGATGTCCCGGGCTCGCTCGTAAGACTGATAGGCAATTTTCTCCTCCATGCTGGCCAGCTCCTGTTTTAAATTCAGGATCTCATTCTGATGGAGCTCAGTCAGGTCATTTAGCTGATCTTCTAGTCTTTCACATCTAGAAATGGGATAACAGCTTTAATGAGAAGAGGTAGGTAAAATTACACTGGCAACAAAAGAGCAGTGAACAGCAGAGCCTTTCTGTTTGCTTTGATTTTTTTTGAAAACTAGTGTGGTGACCTCAAACTTTCCACCTGAATGCTTTACAAACAACGTGGGATCTCCTCGTGTGGAAATAAGGAAGTCCTTTCCACCAGGTGGAATGGTGTTAATCCTATTTTACATCAGGGAAAACCACACAGAGAGGTTAAATGACAAACTTCAAGGGATGTAAGGAATCAAGAAGCAAATTAGGAACAAAATTATTTATTTTCATGACTTTAACTTGACTAAGCTCCCATCCAATACCATATACTCTTAAGCACTTGGCCTTCCCTCCCAACAGTGACAGGCAGGACAGCGACACCACACTTAAATGCAGCTGGCGCCTCTGAGAGAGGGATGGTCCTGCCTGTCCTTCACAGGTGAAACCAGATGGATGACTGTGACATCTTTATTATTTACACTTTTTTTAAGAAGGGCACATGACTAAGGCTTTACTGATGGTGAATACGTTGGGAGCAGTGCAGAGGAAAGGGGTTGCACGAAACTCTGAGTAAGTCTATGGAAGATAAAGGTGTTTCTCATTGACAGAGTTTTAAATTAATGTCAATGATAGATTCATGTTATTTTAGTAATTTCAAAATGCACTAGGGATATTTTCCGTAAGTAAGTAGCATTTCATTTTTAGAATTTTAAGTGCTTTACAAGCAAACCATGTTTGAATACCTTTGAAAATCAGGCAAGTATATATACTGCCTCCAAAAGGTAAACAAATATGGATTAAGCCACTGGCTCAAGGGTCACAAATGCTGAGTTAGGTCCAATCAATAGCAGCCCCTTCCCTGAAGTTTCCCCACTGGATTCTCATTCTTCGTTCATTATGTGTGATAGCTCTGGCGGTTATTTAGGCAGGGGTACAGCTATTGTGCATGCTGGGGTTTTACCACTCAGTTGTCTGCTCATGATAACAGCATGGAAAAAGCTTAACAGTATTGCCTTTGTAATCTAACCCTTGACACACATAACTGGGAAATCCATAGGGAATTCAGCATGCAGAGATAATTTCCTGTTTCAAATTCGGTTCCCCTCTACCTCCATATGACTTTAATTTATACAAGTATACACACACAGAATGCATAAACAACACTTATCTACTAACTAGAGCTTAACTGTAAGTTCTGAAACTTGCAAAGCCAAGAGGTACTTGTCTACTTCCATCTTTCCCAAAGTGTTGGGTGCTTCACCAACTACACGTTCAGAACCCCAAGGAATAAGATGACCTTTGGAAATGGGCTGGGGTTTTGTTTTAAATGAAGATCCAGAAGAGACTTTCCCTTTAGGTCACTGTGCAGTATTCCTTTAAGCTACGGAGGAGGACTCAGGCCCTGCACGACAATCCGGGCTGTGGCGAGCGCCAGCTGACAGCTCAGCCCGGAAAGGTGCCGAAGGAGCCGCGGAAACCGGGGCAGGGCAGGGCAGGACGCACAAAACAACTGGTTTCCCAAGAACCACAAGCTGCAAACACGGGCACAGCAGTGTGACGACTGGCTAATAAGAAGGAGCCCAGATATTTAATATTGCCATTTGTTCCCACCCTGTTTAAAAAAATAACTTGCCAACTACCAAGAAATCAGGACCAAACTCACTCAAAATCTCAATCTTAGCATAAACTACATGAAATATATTCAGCTCGTTAATATATTTCAATTTTCTCTAGTGGGTTAATTAAAGAAAAAAGGAACTTAAACATTTCAGAAAATATCCTGATTATGTCTTTTGCCCTCCTCCCACATAAACACATTGCATAAAGCAGCTGTTGCCAGGCAGCTTAAATCCTGTTCTCTAACAACAAACAATTATATTTTAATAACTTCAATGCTACCTCAATCTACAGGAAGCATAAGGAAACCTTCCAAATCCGTACATTTAACAGTCTGAGCATAACGAAGTTGGCTCCAGCATCCCTGCCGTGAACGCAGGGCCAGGAGCATCCCTGCTCCCCGGAGCGCCCGCGCACCCACAACAACCTCGAGACTGTCTCATCTGCACTGAGCAAGTGCTCTCGCAAGGGAAGAGGCTGCGAGCTGAAACAGAAAGATCTTTGCAGCATGCAGTGAACTGAGTTTAAGACCTCTTTCTACAAGTACACCTCCCAGGATGGACTTCTTTTTTATTTTATTTTTTAGATAACTACTTCATATAAAAACTTTCTTTTTTTCACTTCTGTTATACAAATATGCTTTTATGTTATTGAACACATTGCTTCCAATAGTAGAGCAATAGCTAAAAGCAGTATCTATTTGCAGTATATCCCAAGTCTATTCAGATGCACACAAGGGACAGAGCTCGCTCTGTGCCACTGCTCATGCTGTACTTGTGGCTCCGAAGCCTTCCCTGCTGGAAGGAGACAGCTTTGTGGGAATGTTCTGGTGCTTTGACACCTGGGTGAGGATCTTTCTGACTAAGTGTGCAGATTTCTTTTTCCTGGCAAACTGCAGAAAGCACATTTAACTATTCCAGACCTCAAAGGCTTAGTGTGCTTAAGCTCAAAAAAAAAAAAAAAAGACTCAATGAAATCCAACAATTAGACTACAGCAAAAATAGGTTAAATAAAAACTCAAGCTTCTCACATTTTGGCTAATGGATTTCAGCAAATAGGAACATGGGAGATCTAAATGCACTTTCCAAGGAAGCTGGTTTGGGAAAAAACAAACCTCAGACTGGCAGCATTTCAAATATGTGAGCTCATGCTTTCACTGTGCGCAAACAGGTTCCTAAAGGGACAAGAAATATGAAAATACTCATTGGGAACTTTATTTAGGTCTCAATAGCACAGCAAGTCCCTGCTCCTACCAGTAAACAAGTGCCACCTCCAGCTGATGAGATAAGCACGGGCTATTTGAGCCGCCGGCCGGCCGGGGCCAGGCTCTTCCTTCCCGGTGACGGTGACGCAGCCTAGAGGCGCCGGGGCCCGGAGAGACCCAGCCCCAGCGCAGGCCGAGCGCCGCGCGAGCAGCTCCGCTCACTGACGGCACCATCTGGAGCCGCGGAAGGGAGGGAGGAGGCTGCCTGGCTCATGGAAAACCTGCAGGGCAACTCATGGCTGACACACAGGGACCGCATGCGACGGAAAACACCAGGACCTGCAAAAAGGGGAAAACCTAAGAAAAAGGAAGTGGGCAAAGCGCGAGGAAGCACTGTGAAGCCTGCTTTCCCCTGGCTGCCAGGTACAACACACTCAGCACAGGCTCCTCTCAAACACTTCCTTTTTTAAGCGCTAGCTGCACACAGTGCTCATTTTCCAAAGCTCCCCAGAAATAGAACATGGGTATGAGGTATTTATAGCTTTTAAAGGCCAGTTATGATTAATTTGAATCCCAAGCCTCCTCGCTTCAAACCACAACCTCCATTCCCAGCTCCTTGTGTTTTTGTGAGGAGGCCGAGAGCAGGGCACCAGTGAGGGGAGCGGAGCCAGCGGCTCCCTCAGCGGCCCTGGGCACAGCACCCAGCCTCCCTGCTTCGGTCTCCTGATCTCAGCGTGACACTAGGTTTTATCTTCATGACGCTTTAAAGACGTACAAGAACCTGGATTTCTGCAACAGGGTCAGTATTTGCCTCTCTGTGATTAACCCAGGAGCTCCCTGCAGTTACCGGTGTGTCTTTGGAAACTTGTAGAGGCAATGGCACTCAGTGCGACGTAACCAGGCTCCTGTAAGGGTCACACCTTTAACTCACATCAACTTCCCAAACAGCAAGTCTAAGTCACTACCTGTTTTACACGTTTGTAGGTTGCATACAGCTTTGCCGGGGAACGTTTTACTCCAGGCTGCCTCCAGCAGTGATTGGGCTCTGGGCTTGCACGCAGGCAGCAGTGAATAAAGGCGAATGGCGCAGACATACACCTTCATATTGGACGGTGGGGAGGGCCCCACGGCTCCCCACGGCGGCTCGGGGAGCACCCGGCGCCCGCCGCCGCCGGGCCCGCAGGAACCGAGGGCGCTGCGTGAGCTCCAGCGCAGCCGGGCGGCTGGTCGTGGTGAAGCAATGTTGGTCTGTCCTTGTCAGCCTGGGCTTGCAACACACGTGGAGAGCTGGTTGTCTCTACAAGACCCCAGTAGGCTAAGCCTGTTCAAATACGCTTCTCAGTAACCTGGCACCAACATGTCTAAGAAGTCACAGGGCTACTCCGTGTGGCACTGTGTGAACGGCACAGCACGTGGAGCATCCTAAGGCTGGGCCCGCGCGCGCAGCCTCCTGTCTGACACAGGCCAGAAGCAAGCGTGCTACCCAGCCTGCTGTCCTCCCCCAGAGCGAGGAGCCGGCCCCCTCGCGTTTCTCATTACTGTTTTCATCGTGCCGTTTGAGAATCACATTGCATTTAGATTGTGGCGTGCCGAGCAGCTGGCAGAGGGCAGCCCTGCAACCTGCTGTGAGTGGAGCCCTGTGACCAGACGAGGGACTGGTAGCACTGCAGCAGCTCCACACCTTTCCCTTCCTTACAGTAAGGACAAGACTGGCCAAAATATGGGGTCATCCGCTCCCAGAGCCCCATCTCCTCCAGGACAAGAATACCACTAGTAACTAGTCTCATTTCACTAAATTCTTGCTGTTCCAGAGTGACAGAAGGGAACAGTGCATCCTGGCTTTGGTAGTGGCAAGAACACGTCTGGGGAAAGCCCTGAGAAAGTGAGATATTTCTTTCTCTGCTAGATGTGAATCTGAGTGTTGGAGGAGGCAAAATCAAACTACTGTCTGCATGCACCCTCCTGTCATGTCCCAGACCATTGCAGGCTTTTTTTTTTCCTAGGGAAGAGCAGGGCGTGGAAAATACTAACTGCATCAATGTACTCCCGGTCCTTTGCGACATCTTTCTAATTCTCTTTGGCTTGCTCTTTTACCTTGGAAAGGTTATGAGATAATTTTTCCTCTTTCCTCTGCAGAAAAGGGAGATGAGCAGTGGGACAGCAGCATTTACACAGGTAAAATTAGGAAGGTAAGATACTGAGAACACTAAGGAGCTTCATCACACATCCAAATCAGCCTTGCCACATACTACCCAGGGCTCTGGTGCACCACAGTTCGCAGCATTTAATATGGCAACCAAGTAAAAAAGTACTTACCTGTACCGCTCCTCTTGCAGAGTCTGCATTATTAATGAGTAATCCCTCTGATAACGAACCTTAAGATCCTCAAACGATTCTTCCAGTCTTGCCTGTGTCTCTCGAATTTCTTGAATCTCATGTAGTATTGCATCAAACCCTGAGCTCTGCATATCCAGAGTGTTTGTTTTGGAGCTAGAAGCTCCCACAGGGGCCCCTGTGGTGCTGTTGGCCCCCACGGAGCCCGACGTGGCACTGGAACAATCCTCTTCACTGCCATATTTTGGACTTGACTGAAAGTTCTGAATAACACCTAGAGTCTTGCCTCCTGCCCCATCCTCCTGGCCTTCCTCTAAGGAATCTTTCAGGTTAGCAATATTGTCAGCACTCCCAAACTTGTTCCTTATAAGGGAGGCAATCTCCCGAGGTTTGGAAACCACAGCTCCTGCTGCCGAATGAGTAGCTTGAGAGAAACTGGAAAGCCCACCCTTAACACTGTCTACTACGCCCTCGCTGAAGCCAGTGACCTTTGCTCCGACATCCTTCAAACCCTGATGCATATCCCTGAACACATCCTTCGGCTGCCGAGGGATCCCGTTCTGCTCAATCTCTCGCAGCTTCCTATGGTAATGTTCCAGTTTCTTCTGCAGCTGCAGGATGGTCTGGGCCGACTTCTGATTCTTCTTCTCAAACACTTGCTTGATGCGGGCGCTCTGCTGCTTGTCAGCATTGTTGGCCAGTTTCAGGTACTCGGCCACATTGTTATCACGGGCTGTTTGTTCGATTTTGATCTGCTCAGTCAGCTTCAGGATCTTTTGCTGCAGGTGAGTGATGGCCACTTTCGTGCGCTGAGGGTCTGGGGTCCCGTCAATGGAGTCGGCGTTGATGCTGCCATCAGTGCTCGAGGCGACCGCGCTGGAGGTCTGGGCGAGGCTGCTGACTTCTAACCGCTCGATCTAGGAAAGGAGAGAGGCAAGCATGAGCACAAACCATGCGCTTTGTTAGCGCAGACCTCCCTTCTCCTACCAACCTGCCCATGGACGTAAGCCTGCAAGAGGACACCTCTGCTCAGCTAGCCATAGTCAGTAGGCTCTTATCCTCAACATGCACACACAAACAGCAGAACAAGCCCTGCGGGCTCGGGGGCCGGCAGCAGCAGTGGCCAGGGCAGGGGCACAGGGATGCTGAACACCGCAGCTCACCACGCCTGCCCACGTTAGCGGCCACAGCAGCCCGGGCAGCGGCCCCGCTGCTCCCTGCAGAGCGGTCTGGTCTCTGCCCCGCGCCCCGGCCCGGCCGCGCTACCTTGTCCCGGCGGGGCGGGCGGGGGCCCT